AACCACTTAGCTTCAAATCGGTCAGACCAACTTGAACTATCTAACTGGATTTGTCTTCAAACAAATCACATTAAGAGTGGTTGAACCGTTTGGATTCGGATCAGTCCAGTCGGACCATATTGGACCGATTCAGTCAATGGCGAATTGACTCGGACCGGCCATATCAGGTTGAGCACAGATCAAGGACCGAACCGGCTGATTCAAAGTAGGCCAAGGAAAACGCATTAGGCCGACCCATATCCAAGTCATGTCGCCCATATTCGGGTCGGGTCAAATCAGAATGGGTCAAAGCAGGTGGGTCAGGTTGCTTCATGCCATATCGAACTGGATCTAGGGTTGAACCGGTCCGCCCAAAACTATTCCATATTCGGGTCGGCTCAGATCACCTCAGACTAAATTGGGTTGGGTTCGGACCGAGCTGATCAGCCCAAATGAATCAAACCGAGGTGATTGGGCTGAATTGATCTGTATTTGTCCGGATTCAGGTTGGGTTGATTTGGATTTACGTCGATTCGGATGGATGAAGTGTGTTGATTCGAGGCAAAACTAATTTTAGTAATTAATTAATACATTAATTATAAATTATTTCACTCAAATGAAAAAAAAAACTAGGGAATTCATACTTGTATCTTTAATGATTAACCCAATGGTTATCCACAACCCAACCCAATCCATTTTAATTGACCCAATGGGTGATCAATCCATTTCCAACCTGCCAAGTAAATGGACAGGTTGGGTGGATTACATACTGGGTGAGTTGAGTGGGTTCAGCGGATTGGGTGAGAAATTGGCACCCCTACCATTGGTATTGTACCTGATGGCATTGAAAAGAGTGAGAAACAAGCATTTACTCTTGGTAAGAGAGGTATCCCCGCTCCAATAGAAGCAATGAGGACTGTGGCCATTTCTCCGATCAAGTTACTCGCCAATGCCTCAGTCGATGTTCTCCCTTACCTTACCTAATGCCTTCTATAACATGATTTCAATCGCCTGATACCTAAATTGGATCTCAACCCCATCAACCACTGCAACGAGCTCAATGCTGGAGATGTTGCAGATGTGTATGCAGTAATGCAGGACCTGCAAAATGCAAATTGTTAGTGGGGTTATTGTCCTTAACGCTTAATTTACTTGTAGCATCCCAATTATGGAAGAAGTACCTCCCAATCTATATAAGTCAAGAAGCGTCCGAGGAAAACTAATGTCATAGAAGGTACGCTTGATTTCTTCAACTTCCTGGAGTCAAATTGAATCTAACTGATGAAGGGCACGCCATCACGAAGCCTAGAGATGGTGAGAAGATTTTGAGATGGTGGTTCCGTGATTCGTGCATGAGCAGCAAATGTCACCTTCCTTCCTTATCTGTTGTTTCAGTGTTCCTGGGGCCCACAAGTGAAAATGCTGGGGACTGGAGAATCCAACAAACTTGGTTGGGGAACTTGAAGCCCTCTATCCTGCCGGCTGCCATAATGTTGTTTTGGCCAAAAATGATCCTCAGAATCTCAGATTACAAGCATTCTTTGGGTTGGATGCCCTGGTAAGCCTAGTGGGCAAGCATTTGCAGAAGTTAATCTTCGGGGAATTCAATCCAGGTGAGGAGAGATACCCATGACCTGAGGACCTATTACAAGCATGGGGGAGACCTTGAGGACAAGGTCAATTTCAAGGGGACCAACCATCCAGGAATTAGAGGTGTTGAGATTTAAGTGTTTATGTTGAGCCGGTTAGAGGCCATGTAAGTCGATTAATTGGGTCCATAGTGGATTGAGCTGGAACACATATCAAGGTGGGGCCAAGCCAAGTATTTAAAAGATAGTTGCATCAATGGGTCAGTAAGGCTGTGTTTGGTTTGAAAGAAATGGTTGGGAAAGGAAGTGAAAAATGAGAAAACTTTTACATACTTTGTATAGGTTTTTCTGCCCTTCCTTCCTTTCCTACTTTTTCTTTCACACCAAACACAGCGTACGTGATCTATTTAAGTTGTAATTTTTCCCTGCATAAGTGATCTATTTAAGTTGTATTTTTTCTCTTAATCAGATTATAATGAGAACTATCCTTAGAGTTATCTCTTTGAAGGTGTTCGTCTCCCTCCAAGTAGACGGAATTCACATTACGTCCTACTTGGGATTGTAAYACAACACTTTGTTCCATTAATGGAGATCTTGTTGAGGAAAAATTGATTGTTATCCTAACCCAGGTGGCCAGTACAATCAACCTTCACCTGTAATGAAAGGGACCTCTTCTCTGGGCAGGACTACATTGAGAATTCTCATTGGGAAAGCCTGTATTTAATGAGATCAAGGAAACCTATTAAAACAGCTACCAAGCCAAACAGGCAGGAAACTGCAAAAATTGGTAATTTGTAACTGGATTTGACCCAGGCCTCTACCAATTTAAACAATAGGTATTTAAAGAATTTTTAAATTCTCACTCAGGTAACTAGGTACCACCTCTCAAACATATTGTAACTCAAAGCTACAAGTGATTTTTTTTAAAGCAAAAACCTGTACCTGAACAGTATAGGCCCTTTGGTGGGAAAATACATATGAAACAGAACCCTCAATTAAAGAGTTGCAATAGTGCAGAAAGGAGGGTGATATGTTTGATTTAATGCACATGAATGAATAGCAGTAGCTGAGATGGTCATCGCATCCCTCAAAATATGGAGGCACAGAATCAAATCCGTGTAACTGCAGACTCTCCCTGATACTGTCCCTACCCCCCTTAATCCTCCGTAGTACAATAATAAGTTAAAAGGCAGCCCAATGCACGACTGTAGTACAATAATAAGTTAAAAGGCAGCCCAATGCACGACGCTCCTGCCAATGCGGGGTATGGGGAGAGACAGATGTATACAACCTTACCCCTGTACATACATACAGAGAGGCTGTTTCTAAGATTTGAACCCTGGTCATCCAGGTCGCAATGGAGCAACCCAACAGTTGTGCCAAGGCCCACCCTCATATGTAATACCAAAAATAAAAAACAAAAACAAAAATGCAGAATACAGAGAGAGAGAGAGAGAGAGAGAGAGAGAGGGAGAGATCCACAAACATATAAATTATGGGCTAACATAGATGTTCCAGAAGTTTATAAATCAAGTTTCCATAAACATATAAATTATGGAAACAAGTTTGTAAATCAAGACCTAATGCAAACATATAATAACTTAAGCAAGCAAAGATGTTCCAGAAGTTTGTTCTTTGCTTTCACACAACCATGTTATAATAAGATAAGTACCTCAAAATTGTGCACTCTAAAATTCAAGATTGATCAATCAGAAAATAGGTCTTCAATTACCTCCCATAAAGTAAACTTCTGAACAATAAGTAGCTTTGCTACTTCTTACTGAGTATGCCAACTTTTAGCAAGACCTATACTTAAGTATGAAATATCAGTTTGAAATTCAATTCTCATCATTCAAAAGCTAAAGAACCTACTCTGGTACTTCAGGCATCGTTTCTTGGTAGGAAAACATTTAGGGCAGTCACTTGGAAAGCCTATCTTTCAATTATATTAGTAACTCATAAAGTAAATAGTTTTTGAACTGAAGATCATAAATGCCCATACCAACCAAAATGAGTGCCATCTCTAAGACATTACTTTTTCATCTTTTCATTTAGTTTAATGCCTACTTTTAAGGATGTTACTAACTCAACTCAAGATGTGAAAATAATTTTTGAAAGGAAGAATCTGCAGCTTTCCTTAGTGCCTAATTAGTGCATCCCAATCACATGTAAAAACAGGATGCCCTTACATGTTTCCCTTGTTCCCCACTAACGAGTTATCAAGCATGATAAATACCATATGTTTGGAAGAGAGCATGTAGTAAAGGCATTTTTCAACACTAATCATTTTCAACTGGAGACTTCATTTTTTGGAAGTTGGAACACTGATCTAACAATGTTTATAGATTAAATCATTAAACAGGGTATAAATCGAACAATATGCATAAGTATCATTTTCATGTTAATAGCTGTATGTGTATTTGGTCTTAGTGTGCACTACTAACAAATTTGAGATTTTCAGAGAACACCAGTACAATACAAAATGGCAGTTTGCAAAATGGTTGAAATCCATGGACTAGCCACTCTGTTTTGCTACAATACTTGGCTCACTTGAGCAGCATTGGAACTTCTGAAATGGTGAAAGTCACAAAGAATCCATCTGGCACCACACTAAAGTCAAACAGAAATTCAAAACCCTGTTGAATCCACGAAATACAAGATAGACAAAATCCCATTTTTGTTTAATTTGGGATGAAGTATGTGATTATTGGTTCAAACTTGGGATCAAAATAATAAAGATTATCAGTTCAATCTGTACAACTCAAACCAGATTAACAGGCACCACACTAAACTAATTGAAATTCAAAACCCAGTTGAATCCACAAAGTACAAGATAACTAAAATCCCATTTTTGTTTAATTTGGGATGAAGTATGCGATTATTGGTTTAATATGTACAACTCAAACGAGATGCTGGGCTGTCCAAACCAGCCAGGTTATTTACACATTTGTTTCCTCTGATGATTTTGCACACAAAGAATGTCTCCCCTTATATTAGTTGATTTTGCACACAAAGAGTGACTAGGAACATGATATTAAAGTTCCAGAGTTTGTTTTTTTTTTTTTTGATGAATATTAAAGTTCCAGAGTATTAGTTGCTTTTAATTTATCGACTTTGAAATTTATTGATTTTGATTGAGAAAATATAGTCAATTAGTTCTCTTTTTACCATCAAATTGGAATCTCATCATAGATTCGATGGATATGTCCCAATTTTGATTAAAGAGGATCATGAACTGCTCTAATAGTCATCATGGTTACTTGAGAAGTGCAGTGGATAAAGATAGAACAAAAAACAACTCTTAAATTAAACATGTTAGAAAATTTTAGGCACTGCAAAAATCATATGAACCAAAAAAAAAAGGAAAAATATATAAAAGTGGATATATTAGTAAACCATTCAATAACAATTGCATAGAAAAGAAGAGGCTGATAGAATAAGTTCATATTTACAATAATCAGAGAAACACAACACACAATCCAAATGTTGAGTGATCAAAGATGAAAGAGAGAAACAGATCAGTTTTATTCACACTGCAGGCACCCCAAACAATTCATTACATGCAGAAGAACTCATTATTTCCATCCTATAAATCTAAGAAAATTGCAAAAAATACAGATGAAACTTAAAATAGAGATCTTACAGGCATGAACCAGGAGCTTTTCCACAGTATTCTCCCTAAGTTCTCCAGACCAGCGTATAGAGCATGAGATAAAAAGAGAGCAAGAGATAACCCCAGACCCCAGTAACAAAGACTAACCATGGTAGTCCAACCTCATAAGCCACAAAACCTCCCAATTCTCTTCTATCACAAGCCAAAGTAGCAGTTCTGAAACACTATTCTTCAACCAGGATCACCAGGAGAGAATTCAAGCCCTGAATCCAATCACATTGAAAATACTGATTTCTTCGCCACCTGGTTATCAATCGCTATAATAACCAAGCTCCTGCATCCAATTCCCAAGAATAATGATTCATTGCCGCAAGAGAGTGATCTCAGCCACTTCTTTGAAACAAAATCTGCACGTCTCCAGCTTATTACCAATTCAGTCTTCAATTCAGCATTCATGGTCTGCCCAAGGTAGCAATCAACGACCATTCTTCCCACGAAAACAGAGAATGAATGCATCTTTGCATTTTCAGGTACAAACAGGAGTTCCTTCAAATTCAACCAAAACCATAAGCCTGAAATTCCTCCTCCAATTAGGCGTCTATATGCAAAGATTGTCGGCACATTTATAAACCCTAGTTCCTTACTTAACAAAATCCCAAGCCTTAAAAAACAAAAAGAAGATTGGAAAAAAACTAAACCGTAATTTTGACTGAAGAGAGAATGATAAGTAAGAAACGTAGTAAAACCCTAATCCATTGAAATTCAGAATTCATTCAAATTTCACAAACCCTAATTTGTTCCTTGAATCACCCAAACTAAAAACCTTAACTGTAACCCTAGAGTTTTCCTCATGAACACACACGGAATCACACAACCAAAATCAACGAGGCTCATCCTCTCTCCTCCCCGACGACGCCGGCGCAGCAGACAACGAAGCCAGCAAATTCAGATGCCCCTGTGCAATCGGAAGATAATTCCCAACCCTTGCCGCCGATGCCTCACCGATCGGTTGCTGTGGAAACCGCCCCGTCATCGACGGCTGCGACGCCGCCGCCACCGCGGCCTGCGCCTGCACAACCATTTCCTGTGCAGCTGCGAAACTCCACACCTGACCGAAATCCGGCCTCGCCGGGACCGCCCAGAACCCACCAGTGGGCCCCACAGCAACTGCGGCTGCGGTAGCATCATCCTTTCCACCGTCATCCGCATCATCGTCCGTCCTGAGCCGCTTACCCAGTATGAACGGTGTAGGCCCCAGCAACGGAGGCGTGGGTTTCTGATCAAGAGCTGCCGAAATCGACGTTCCCGATGAACCTCTAACCGAGACTGACACGGACGAGAAGCTCGCAGGAGTGGTCCCAGTACCGGTGGCGGCGATAATGGATGGCTCAGCTTGACGAAGTAGCCACTCAATCGTCTGACCATCGGATTTATGACCCAGTTCTCTAGTTAGCTGGAAGACCCTAGCTGCACAGATGATCGGCATGCGTATGCGCCGCCCTCGTCCGTCGACCTTGCTGTGCCGGTCCTTCGACGGGGGCTTCTTCACCGCCAGAGCTCCATTACTGGGTATCTGCTGTTTCTGCGCGTCAATAAGCGCCCCGTTAGTCCCACCGTTATTCGCTCCCTCGGTTGTAGACATCGCTCCTCTGTGTCCTGCGTGTGCTTCTGTCTTGCGTGTAGAGATGGACAGATAGAGAGAGAGAGAGAGAGAAGATGACTGAGGTTGGTTTAGCTTTGCTGATACGAGCTGGTGTGCGCTTGTCGACGTGATCGAAGCTAGAGAGGGGGGGCTTCTAAAAAAATCGAAGCTACAGAGAGAGAGAGATGGGGTTGGGTTTGGGAGGAAAAAGAGAAATCTAATCATTGAGTAGCAGGAGCGGGTGGAGACAGGCGGAAGGGCACATGGGGTGGTGGGGCCTACTCGCATAACCCCACCTCACCCCTCTCTCTCTCCGGTCACCACTCACCACTCACCACTCTTCTTATCTATCTCTTTCTCTCTCTAAAACACTGTAGAACCCTGTCACTCTTTCCCTCCTCCTGTTCCGGTGATGCAGTTAGTCATCAGAAATTGACACCTGGTTGACTGCGAAATTACGGAAAAGCCACCCAGTTCCTCTACCAGGGATCATTTCGCCCAATTTTTTACTGTTTTCGAACTTCGATGGAGATCACAAGGGGGAGAGCGATGCAAGGGAATTTTGGTCGTTTCAGGTCGGAACGATGTGCTATTAATTGTTTGACACCGCTGTACCATTAATTTACGGAACCGCCACTCTTGACTCTTGAATCAATCCATTCTGTTTGCAAACAAAGAGGAAAGAGCTCGGTTTACTCTGGTCTGGGACCCTGGGGCCCATGACCCGCCACGTCTCCCACATTTTCTGAACCATTTAGTTAAGTCCATTACTATCACCCATGGATGGGTCCCAGTCCTACGATTCTGTACCATTAAGTCCATTATATCACCCACGGATGGGGGTCCCAGTCCTACGATGAGGTTAGAAACAGAATGAAAATAATTTGGTCTGTCAATGAGTTATCCGATGTCTGAACCGACCGAAGCGATATCGCTTCTACGATAGCAATTACGGGTGAAGATGGGTCGGTTTGGTTCATATTTTTTAATGAAAAATTGAAGGTTGATTTTCCAAAAAAAAAAATTCTAGATTTTTGGTATTGGAACCTATTATGTGAAGTTCGATTTTAGGGTCGGTTTTGAGTGGTTTTGGGATCAGTTTTAAGATTTATCCGTGGAATTTCTTCTTTCTTTATTTCTTTCTTCAAAATAAAAGGAAGAAGTATATTTTTTAAAAATTTAATTTTCAGTAAATATAATATATAGTTTAAAATTTATATTATTTTTATTGATTAAATTGAGTTATTTTATATGTAAATTATCATGATATGATTCAAAACTTATAATTTAAATTTAAATTTTGTGAATACTACCTTTTGCATTATTTATTGTATATGTCTAAATATTAAAATGAAAACAAATGATCAACTAACTTAAGTTAATCAATGGTTAAGTGAGACTATGGCCTTTGTAACCATGAGTTCTTTGGTTCAAATCTTCACATCCCTAAAAGTATTTTTGAAGTTTATTTCAATGCAAGTTTGATTCCAAAGCAGGTTCCACCAAGGGTAACCAGGGTCATTTTATCGGGTTAGTTTAGGTAGGGTAAACCCCTAGAATTTGGAACCGACTTGGGTGTGAATCAGTTCCAAGAACTTGAAACCAAACCCTACCTTGTAACAAATTCGGTAGGGTCGGTTTAAGGCTGGTTCGAGATCCGTTCCATTTAGTTTTGAACAAATAAAAAGGATAAATTACAAGGACCTCCTGTACTATGAGGTCAGTGACAAAAACACCTATACGTTTTTTTTTTTTTTCGCAACAAAGACCCCTGAACTTTGGTAATTAGACAAAGACCCCCCTCCCCCTCCATTAGTGTTTTGTCAATTATCATTGAAAAAGATTCTCATTTCGAAGTTACAAGAGTTTTAAATCTCCAAATTACCCATTTAATAATTATTCAAACAATTTTACCCTTATTATTATTATTATTCATTTTTTTCCTTATTATTACTATTCTTATACTTTGCCTTACAGACTTATTGCCCTTTTCTTTCTCCCTCATGGTCAAGTTTCAGAAGCAAAGGGATTTTCTTCATAGCGAAGTTACATCGGTGATCACCTATACATGCAAAGGCGAAGGTGGGTGTATCCTGCGGAAACTCTTCCTACTTCGTTGAGTGTACTTCCTCCCTGTTCTTGAGTTTTCCATCGTTAGGGTTTATCAATTCTCATATAGGTTCTCAGAGGGATTTTCTTTATAACCATCTAATGCAGTTCGTGTTTGTGTCGCTGATCATGCAAAAGTAATTGGTTTTTTAATCCACTTCCAATATGATATACAATATTGTTAGGGTTAGTCTATGTAACGAATAAAATCTTTTGGTTTTCATGTGGTAGCCATTAATTTGTTTATGGGTTTTTTGGAACATATGTCCAGATGCTATCAATGATGTTCACTCTGTTGTGATTCACTTATTGAATCATAAGATTGACTTGATGTCTACTTACCCCTACCCTGTTTTTGACTTAGCTAACTAATTTTAGCCTAATTCTAAGACTATAACTTGCCCGAATCCAAACATAGACTATAACTCAATGAGTCATAGTATTTTTTTTTTGTGTTTTTCATTTTCTTTAGATTGTGTTTTCTAGTTAGGCTAGCAAGTTATGGTGAAACAAGGACTTTCTATTTCCTAACAAACCAGTCCAAGAATCATTCTATAGATCTTAGAGCTTTGTGAGAGAGTGAGTTTGTTATGAGTAGGATCCATATAAGTTTAGTTAGAGCCAATATAGGAGTCTCATGTATATTCAGTCAACATGAAAAAAAAAAAATGAGCATATCTGTTAAAACTTGAGGTTTCATGTATATTCAACTAACATAAACCTGTATATGCAGATTCTGTAGGTTGTATGTATGTTGAGTAGATAAGTTTAAATGAATTTTGTTAAGCATTTATACAACATTACAAGTCTGTAAATATACCTGTGATGGTGGGTCACCATTCCCCAGCCCCTAATAAGCATTCCCATCCGATATCACATTTCCGCCCCACAACACATCCCCGCCATGTATTGGGAGCATCTCCCGATGATGACATCATCAGGATTGGTACTATCATCGGGAGATGTTCATAATACACGGCGGGGATATGCTGTGGGGCGGCTCCTGGTGGGGTGGAGATGTAAACTCTTCTCATCCGCACTTAGCATGCCTACATGGAATACATCATAATGATTTGTTAGATGGTACAACAACAATCCAACTTCAAGGAGTTAGCTAATAAATGATACCTGAATGTGAACATTTGTTAACTCAAATGGTGTCACTGAAGCACTGCCCCCACTCCACCCATGTACATTTGTGCTTGACTGAGTTCCCTGCATAGAACAACACAAGATCCATAATCCAAGGGAGCAAACATTGATGAATAGCACAGGTATGGTTGTGCTTAACATGACAAATAACTTGTCAAGGGAGGATTATACCTATGCAGGTGAGGGTTGTAAAGGAGATGGTGTTATTAGTTCTCCACCCTACCCACACATCCTCCCCTACCATGAGTGGTGATATTTTGACCATTCTGTTGACCCCTACCCCTACCCATACCTCTTTCTCCACCATGGGTAGTTATATTTTGACCAACCTATTGTTCCCCACCAGTGCCCACATCTCTTCCCCTACCATGGGTGGTGATATTTCACCATTTTCCTGTGCCCCACCCCTAACCATACCTCTTCCCCTACCATTTGTGGGGATATTTTGGTGACCTATGCAAAAAATGCTTAATTAGTTTGTGCCAACAAACATTAATAAATAATACATGAAGGAGATATAGTTGAGAATGTCTTGGTAGTGGCACTCCTCTACCCCTACTATGTTCTTAAGAAACATGTGAATAAACTTGTTGTGAAGAAACACCACCACTTGTAGCATTGACCATACCACTACCTCTATGATGAGACACTTGGTGAAACTGTAGTGCCAATACCATCTCAAAACCCATTATTCGCACACTGTTGCTTGGTTGCCCCTCTTGTACATAAAACAACATCAATGTGTGTCAAAATAACACACCACACAATCTAAATTGCGAGTATCACAACTTGTCTCACCAATTGGTTAAGTGGAAACCAAGAATCTATTTTTTCCTTATGGAGTAATTTTTCCTTAATTGACATTCCGAAGCAATTTAAATGGACAATACCACCAAACAAACCTGTATAATGTCAGGGATCTAAAGTTTAAGAATTGGGTTTTGTTTCATTTCAAATGTATGATTTTTAATTTCTCAAAGTGTCATGTTTTGGATCCAAATTATACAAATTTGAGTTATTTAACCAAACCTAAAATGAAACACAAATGAAATGGATTACCTAGTGTGGTTGTCCTCACATTGTACCCACACCATTGCTCTGATGTCTACCTCTACCCTGACCCTTGCATCTTTTGTGGTTGTGCCCTTTAACCCCCAAATTGTACACTTCATCATTCGGAACCTCCTAGAAACATGGACCCTAGAAGTGACATCATTTGGTCCCTTCCTCTTGGCCTGGTAGTTTGATTAGGATACATTTTGTCCTTGGCCACTGAGATTCATGGAACACTGGTAAAACATAATGACTATGCCTTCAAGCACCTCTCATTAGTGTACAATGGATCAACATAGTCATATATGCTACATTGCTACCTTGTTGTAAATGAATGTATGAAACTACATGACAACATGGCAGCCCTATTAGTGACCATTCCTTACAACTACAAATCTTGGCCTACAAATTCGCACCACTCTTCCCTTGGAATGTTTAACCTCAAAATTCCCATTGTGAGAAAACATACAGAAGTAATTCCTAGCCTGTGCCCGGACATTGTCCAACTTCTTCTAAACATTAGGAAATACTGGCTCATGTCCCTTTTCAACTTATCCTGCCTTGTTTGGACCAATTTCATCATTTTCCTTCAAATGGTATCAATTAGAGTGATTATAGGCTTATCTCTGCTATCCAAAATCCCCTTGTTGACTAACTCAAAAAAAAAAATGTTGTAGATATCATCACTTCTATTCCTAGGTCCAAATGAAAATTCAGGCCATAAGTTAGAAGACACAACCCTTAACCACTCATAAGCATCCCTACTCAAACCTTTCAAATTATCCATATGCCATTGAAACTCGGGGATAGTGTATGTCATTGCAACTCCCTAGAGATCCCTAAGATCCTTTCCCTTGAACTAATCCTTGAAGTTTGCATAGATGTGTCTAACACAAAACCTATGATTAGCTCCTTGCATTAAAATCAAAAACCACACCTTCATATGCCTTTTGTCTGTCAGATATGTAAATTCAACCA